CCCCAAAACCCCAAAACCCCAAAACCCCGTGATATCAAATTTGCAGACCAGTGTAAATTTAGAACATCAAAAGCCTTCTCAATAAATTAATAAATAATTGAACTTCAGATGAGTGTTAGCTCCCCCATTTCAAAATCAATAGTCTAATCATACTTATATGAGGATCTTTTGGAATTCTCTCCATTTAATTTCTTTAATGGGATTAACCCAAAGAGACTGCTAAAAGGATAATCTGAGTTTGCAAAAGCTCATTTACTTAAGTATTTACTATGTAAGTTCTGTGGAAATATTGTGGTCCAAGGCAAAGAGTGTGTAAAATGTGAAAACAATTTCTGTTCCCCTTGTATAAAAAAATGGGAAGCTTCGGATTCTGCTCGATATTACTAAACACCTTGTAAATGTCGAAAAGTTACATAGCTGAAATTTCTTGGAAAAACTAAAAATGATTACTTACAGCAAATAAGATTTAGATGCTAGAATAGGCAATGTCATTATTCATTGACTTATGAAGAATTGATTCTTGGAACCCATGAATTAGATGATTGCAAATTTATCAAAATAATATGTGAGGGATGTGGAGCTCGAATTATGAAATAGGATTAATTAAAACATGAGACAGTCGAGTGCCCGAATCCATAATCAAAATGTAGGTTCTGCTAAAAAATGATGTCCTTGAAGGAAGTTATATCTCATTAGAAGGATTGTAACATGAGAGTATAAATTAAAATTGAATATGATTGCAGTTATGAAGCGAAAAATGAAGAAGTGAAATAGGAAGAGGAAGAATCTAAAGAAGATAAGGATGTTAAGAATGAGGCAGAGATAAAGATAATTAATGATAAAAAAGGAAAGGATAGTAAAGGAAAGATAAAGAAAAATAAAAAACCTAAGACTAAATTATAGTGAAAGAACTAAAGACTATCAAAGATTTTATAATAGGAGGCTATGAAGTATTAAGATATAGCAAAAGAGAGCTAAAATTAAGAATAAGCTATTTAAAAAGAATAGTTATAAAAATAAGCGATTGATAAACCCTAAATGTAAGAGAGAATATTGACTCAGCCCTCAAATCTGAATTAATTTCCTGAACAACCTTTGCCACATGTGTAGAATATATAGCCAATCCTTCATTATAACTATGGGCCTGTTTCAATAGTTGAAAATTTGCAAATCCAGCATTAATCTTCAATAGAATAATCTGCAGAAAGCATTCTTAATAAATTTCAATAAAGGTAACAGCATAATGATTTCCAATCTTAATAGTTTCCTAACAACTAATAATAAGATCATACTATTAGCACTATTATGGATCAAAGGATTAACATGGAATTAATTAAAAATATCTGCTAGATGATTCGAAAAATTAAGCAGAATAAAATTTCAAGACAATAATAGTAGTAATAGAGAAATGATAAGACTCAAAAAGTAATTATTTGTTTAGATGATGAGGATGAAACAACATCAGAATAGGGTAAAACTTAGATTATATAGGAAATACCAAACGAAGTTATTTTAAGTTCAAACTAATAGGAAATAAAGAGTAATTCACTCTCTGGAATAGCCTCACTCAATTTTACAAGTTCTTCAGATAAAGAATTAAAAAAATATCTAAAAGAAAAATAGGTAATTTTAAGTGAAGATGCTTATTTAAATCATAATGAGTAAGCTTAAAGCAACACGCATGTCTCTAATATTGCAGATATTGGTTCATGGGCTTCTGATAAAAAGTTTCAAAGATTTGATAAAGTTGCTATATAGGTAGACTAAAATTAAAACTAAGCAAAATATTAGTCAGAGCTTGATGACTTAGATTAAACAGTAATTTAGAAGAGTCCAAGTATCAATAAAGCTAAATTTCTCAAGCCTCAAAACAAACAAACTCCCAATTATATTTCAAATATGCAGCTAGGTTCAAAGAGAACATACTCACAAATTTGAATATTCAAACATTTCTAAACATCATAATGTCTTAATATTCTCTTGTACTTATTCTTAATTAACCGCTTAAATTTATTTGTCTTCACTCTTTCATATATATCAATTCATTCTAGATGGTCTTAGCTCTGAAAAGAATTCAAGGAGTAAGAATTGTAGTCAACTAAAATTTCTTTTAGGAACTTAAAGATCTTCAAAAAGAACCACTGGGTGATTTGTGCCCATTTCTAGGACCAGATATGTCTTAAGACAACCCTTTTAAATGGTATGCAATCATTATTGGCCCTGAAAACACTCCATTCCATGGTGGTACATTTAGACTCTAGATAGAATTCCTGGATGACTATCCTTACGAGCCTCCAAAAGTTGAATTTTAGACAAAGATTTATCATCCTAATATTTCTAGCAATGGAGAAATCTGCCTTGATATTCTTAGACACAGAGAATTATGGAGCCCTGCCTTGAATATTTAGAAACTTGTGATATCTATAATAAGTCTAATGGGTGATCCAAACCCTGAAGATGCCCTCTGCCCAGATATAGCAAAGGAATATATGAGAGATAAAAAGAAGTATGAATCTGTCGCCATGAGATGGACAAAGCTTTATGCAAATTGATTAATTATCTAATAGACTTAATCTTAATATCTTTGAAAAAATGATTTTATGGTTGTGTATCTGAAAAAGATTACAGAGCTATATATCTATGGAAGATTTAAAGCGGGAGTATTTTCATTATTTTATTCCCACGAGCACAAAATGGCACAAATTATGAATCGTGCAAGTTGTTATGTGTGGGTTAATATTAACCTATTTATTTAGTTCAGAACATATTTAATACTATTTTAAATAATTAATTATAATTTCTCATAATTGCGAGCCTTTTATACCTCGGGGTTTTGGGGTTTTGGGGAGATCGGAAGAGCGTCGTGTAGGG